GCATGAGGGTTTGCTTATTTATTTATTTATTTATTTTTTTAGCCCTCTCAAAAAGGTCTCGCCCGCTCTTGCATTTGTTTGGCCTTTCCAAGAGAGGGACCACCCCCCCCCCAAAGAAGGTCCAGGGACCAGCTTCCCCCTTTTGTGTTGCAAAATGGCTCAAATATTCCTGGTCGGAATGCATTACATTTGGAGATGGGCTCGAACTGCCCCCAAAAGGAATGGCTCGTCTTGGTTCCTTCAAGGTTGACGAACCACAGATTCCCACGGGGTTTTGCGACGAACCACCAATCAGTTCGTTGGGTCTCTGCCCCGCCGCTGTTCTGGCCACCTAGGCTTCCCTCTCTGCCTATGGGGACCCAGACGGGGATTTCCGGAACTGACAAAATACCAATATTGGACAAATCAGCCGTTTCTTATGAACATTGCAATTAGTTTTTTTTTTTAATTCATCTTCAGGTCTAATTAAAATGAACCTTTTCATCCTCTTCCTTGACCCAAATGCTGAAGAAATGCCTCCCTCCTTATTATTGTTGCTCTTCTTATTGATTGTATTTGTATGCTGCATTTTCAGGAGGGCACTGTGCTCAAAGTGGTTTGTAAAAAACAAACCACAGAAATACAGTGTCAGTTATAATATAAATAATAATAATTGTATGCTATCAAGTCGATACTGTGTCACGGTTTTGGCAACAGTAAAATATGCAGTTATTCAGACATACTGAGGGCAGCCTTTCTTAAGAGTTTTCTAGTGGTTTATCAGTGGCCTGGGATTCTGCAGCTTGCCCAAAGCTACCCAGACTGGCTCTTTTCCCAGAAGGCACAGTTGGGTCAACAAGCTTTAAAGCAGGCAATTGTGATGCGTCATTATATTATCACAATATATATGTTACATTTCTCGTGCAACATTACAATCATTTCGTGATATAATTCTTTCTGGTTTACCCGTTTATTTATTTATTCATGTACTGTACTATTATGCAATTATGTCATATACTGGGAGGGGGTTGTAACGTATTTTTGATAATTTTTTGAAATGAGCTAGCAAGGTTAATTTTTCAAAATTTAATTACATGGGTTCTAATTTGTAACATTTATAATATGTATAATTGCAAGGTAATTTTTTAAAATCTAATTCCTAAGAAGGGATAAGAGATTTTTAACTCAGTCCCCTGAATTCTCTGAGATCTACTTGCACAGTTTGTAGAGGGGCCTCGTTGTACTATTCCTGGCAGGCACCAGGGTGCAGTTAGTAAGTGTAATGAGTAACGAACAATACAAAAGCAAAGAAAAAGTTTAAAAAAAAGATGTGCCACCTTATAAAGGCTAACTTCTATGCATTTTAAAAATTAGCCACAAAAGGTAGAGTATTGTCAAAGAGGCAGCAATACTAGAACTATATTAAATAGTGATGAGTATTAATATTGCAAAAAATAAAAAATGGATTGTTCACAGCATGTCACATATTTACATTGTTGTTTGTTGTGTTTATGCCTTGCGTTTCTTCTGAAGAGCTCAGTGCACTGTACATACCTCTGGTCCTCCATCTGCACCCCTGGAATAAACCTGTGAGGTAGGTTGTCTTGCTGTAATCTTTACAAGAAGTGTGGAAAGAAAGACAGCTTTATTATCTCCTCCATATAGGTGAGGGAGTGGGCTGAGTGAATTTGAGTATTCCAGTGTGCAGATGGACTCCAGCTGGTGCTCAGCATCAGATCTCTCCCCCCCCCCCCAATTTTGAACAGAGGGTCCATCATGGGGGAATCTGTAACTAGGAGTGAAGTATGGTAGAAGCGGATAACTGGGTTTGTGGATACCGATCCTGCAGATATGGGTCCTACTGTTCTTCGGATATCCTGACTTCAAACTGTTTAGGGCTTTGTAGCACCTTGTGTTTTCAATTACTAGATGTAATTTTCATATTGACAACTAGTAAAATAGCTGAGGTTCATCTGATTTGTAGGGAACTCTTTTACCCGATCTAGACAGATATTCCTTGTTATAGAGCACGGTGGATTTGATTTAAATCAGTATAAATAAAGATTTAAATCATGATTTAAATCACTAGTCAGTAAGACTTCATTTAAATCATGATTTTTTAAATATATAGTAAAGGCTCATTCTTGCTGTTAGTTATAATCTTTAATATTTGCAACAAGATAATTATTTCATATTTAAAGTAATAACCTGTCAGATTAGTAACACAGCTATCTCAGAACATTATTTCATATTTTGTAACATATTTCAGATTAGTAACACAGCTATCTCAGAACAGATTTAAGTTGAATAGGTTAATCACTCATATAAATTAAATAAATAAATATTTGAAGAACTAGTTAAATTGTTTTATTTAACAAAAACAATAATATATAGTACAGTGGTGCCTCGCTTAGCGATCGCTCCGTTGAGCGACGAAATCGCTTTGCGATCGCAACAGCGATCGCTTCGCGATGTTTCCTATGGGGAAAATTCGCTTTACGATGATCGCGGGGAAGCGATCATTGCAAAGCCCCCATTTTCGGCCAGCTGATTGGCGGTTCCAAAATGGCTGCTGGGGAAAAAATGGCCGCCCACTGTTTTGTCTCGCTTTAGAGGCACCGAAAATGACCACCGCCATGGAGGATTTTCACATGAGGTTAGTTTTCAAGCCCATAGGAACACATTAAATGCGTTTTAATGTGTTCCTATGGGCTTTTTAAAATCGCTTAGCGATGTTATCGCTTTGCAGCGATTTTTGCTGCACGGATTAACATCGCTAAGCGAGGCACCACTGTATACATATTCTTGTATTTGCTTCAACATCGGTGTGTTCATTGTACATAGATTTGTAGAACAACAACGGGATTAAGGTCTTTTCCTGAGCTTTGTTCATTTTATACCATTTTTACTGTGGGGAAAAAAGTGCATGTTATCTCAGCTTGGATAACTTGGATTAATTGAATTAGTTTACCATAAATGTAAATATTGCATGAATATACAGCTTCATGCTACATAACTAAGTTCTATTTCATGCTGAATAACCTTTGAACTATAATGCAACTATCTTTAGATAGCTTGTTACCCCAAAAGCATTTCATTAAAATAAATTTGATTTAAATTTTAAAAAATCCATTTTTTAATTAAAATCATCGATTTTAAGCCACCCAGTTATAGAGTCATTATCTTGTTTTGGGGAACAGAGAAAGAGCGGTTTGCTCTGTTTAGTATCCTTTGAGTAGCAAGGAATGCTAGATCTATGGTCAGTCTTTTTTTTAACTGTTTTTCTTTCTGCATTTATGTTTAGTTTTTTTGAATGGTACAAGTTTTTGTAAACGTTTGCGTGAAGCAAGAAGAGGAATGATGGCATCTACAAGTAATACCTTTGTTTCTTTTTCTCTCTGGTGCTGGGTTCTGTAGCTCTTTCTAGAAGAAGGAATATGCTGTTTTAAGTGCAAAGATTATTCCTGCCTTTCTGAAAATGTTCAAAAGGGAATGACAAACCCTTGGGGTAGAGGGCGAGGAGGGACAGGGCCTAAAACACGATCTGCCTTGACAGGAGACAGAATAGATACAGCCAGTTGTTCTCTTTTACTGGTTGAACAATGCCCGTCCATCACAAATTTGGTGAAGGTGGATTGCCAGATTTTCTTGCCACCCGATCAGAACCAGTTTACATGGTTTCCCATAATAATAAGCCCTCTGCTCCAGCGACTGCATTCCCTATGTGCTTCCAATAGTCATGTTCTGTTGTGTGGTACCTCTGTTCCTTTGTAATGGCTCCTATCTGTGAGCAAACCTGATTTTCTATGCTGCTGATCACACCTTATTTGAAAGAGCTGCGGATGGCTTTTGCGAAATACAGGTGGGGGAAGACGAGGAGGGCTTGCACGAGGTGAAGTCTCTTCCTACGTCAAAGCTGGAAAAGTTTTCCTGTGGCTTGTGTTGGAAATGGCTGCTCAGAATAAGCTACGGGCGGGGGCGAGAGAATGTACTTACTGTTTGGGCCAGCATTGCTGCTTTTGTATCACAGCTTTTATTCTTTTATGCCTTCAAATGCATTTCTGGCTGTAGGATTGGAATGTTCTGTCGTACATAGCTAAAGTTCTAGTTCCCTCAAATAAGGTGCTTATGAGCAGCATGTCTTTGTGCGTCCTGCTATTTTTTGCAATTCCTAGCCGTGCAGCAGGTTGGATAGCAAAAGGTTAAGGGAAGCTACTGCAAAATTGTTGTGTAACGACGTCTGATGTTTTCTTGTTTTCTGTACACACAAGAACAAAAGATGAGCAAGAACAAGGATGATATTCCCCATGAGTTAGAGAGCCAGTTTGTATTGCGACTGCCTCCAGTAAGTATCCCTTTGTAACAACGAACTATAAAGTTGTTAGCATTTGTGGGTTGATGGAGGCGTGCGTATGACCGCTGTTATCTGACTTTGCCTCTCCTTTTCCTTCATTCTCCCTGCTGCATCCTCCTTTTCCCTTCAGGAATATGCTGCTATCGTGCGGAGAGCAGTTCAATCTGGAAGTGTCAACCTGAAGGACAGGCTCAACATTGAATTACATGGTAAGAAGACAAGATTCTCTAGTTTGAATGCCTTGGTCTATGTTATTATATCTTATTGGTTTGGGACAGTGCAGCAAATCCTGAATTTAGAAGGCTTAAACTCACTGGGAAGATATTCACCAATTACTCTGTCGTTCTTGTCATTGCAGCCGACGGTCGGCATGGGATTGTCCGAGTTGACCGTGTTCCATTAGCTGCCAAGTTGGTGGACTTACCCTGCATCCTTGAGAGTTTAAAAACCATTGATAAAAAAACTTTCTATAAGACTGCAGATATTTGTCAGGTAGGTGCTGTCCAGCAGTCTAAAGCCAATCCATTATGATTCTGTTTGTACACAGTTACGGTTTTGATGTCTCCCTTGAACCTACCTTCTGTTGTCCTTTCCCTTCTGCAAGAAGCAAAACGTGGGTCTACAGCTCTTGGAACTCCTCACCAGCATGGCCAGTGGGTATTTAGGCAGCTCCAAGCCAAAAAGGAACCTCTCTAGGCTCTGAAAGCATACAAGACATTTAATTCCAACCTTGTATATAACAAGTTGCCTCTCTGATGCACAAAACCCATTTGGTCTTTGGGACATACCTGCAAATATTGGTTATACTGTTAGGTTGTTAATCATGATTGTTTATTTTGATTTCAGTATCAAAGGCCTATCAATACCAGCTTTGGGGGATTGTGCATGGGAGGGTACTACGCTGTTTCCCCAAAAATAATACCTAATCTGAAAATAAGCCCTAGTATGATTTTTCAGGGTATTTGTAATAAAGCCCTACCCCAAAAATAAGCCTCAGTTAAGTGAAACCCCACCCTCCACCATTGTGCAGCAACCAGAAGAAGAGGACATGACTGTATTTGAATAAATGTAGATTGTTGTACATGAAAAAAAAATCCAAAACATCCCCTGAAAATAAGCCCTAATGCATTTTTGGAGTAAACATTAATATAAGACCCTGTCTTATTTTTGGGGAAACACAGTACAGTATTATAGGTACATCCTGCTTGTGGGCTTCTCAAAAGCATCTATTTTGGTCCCTGTGGATGCAGAACGTTGGACTAGATGGGCCTTTGATGTAACCCAGCACAATAATAATCGTGTGCTGTCAAGTTAATTCTGACTTATGGAGACCCTTTTCTTGGTTATCCAGAAAGAGAATACTCAGAAGTAGTTTACCATTCCCTTTTTCTCGGGGGAGGGGGTGCCCTGGGACTGTGTAGCTGGCCCAAGGCCCCACAGGCTGGCTCTCCATGTAGGAGGCACCGTGGAGAATTGAATCCCCAACCTATGGCTCCATAACCAGATACATAAACCAGTGAGCCATCCAGCCAACTGGTAACCTAGCACAGATCTTGTTAGTTTCTTTCCTTCTTGAGAAATTGGTCAGATTCCTCCTTCTCCAGTGCTTTCCTGTATAATAATTCCTCCCCTTTTTTTCCTTTTAAATATTTTGTCCACTTCAGATGCTTGTATGCACTGTGGATGGGGAACTCTATCCTGCCATGGAAGAGCCAGCTGTGGGTACTGATGCGAAAGCTAATAAGAAGAAGGACAAGGATCGAGAGAAGAAGTTCATCTGGAATCATGGCAGTAAGTAGAAGGTTTCTCTGCCTGGCTCTTTGCCGCTGAGCAATCAGTCCCTTCCACAGATTTGTCTGATTTTGGCATTGTTTGTCAATACTTCCAAAACACATTTATATTCTTAATTTAAAAAAGAAACAAGCCAGGGAGGATGGGGCACCTGTTTTCTTAATACCTCCAAAACACATTTATATTCTTAATTTAAGAAAGAAACAAACCAGGGAGGATGGGGCGCCTGTTTTCTTTCTCGTTGCCTTGCTGCTTTGGTGTTTCACGGGTCCTTTAACAATTTTGTTTCATCAAATTAATGTTACTGGTTTCTTTAAGTAACTCTCCCACTGAAGAATGTGAGGAAGAGGAGGTTCAGGAAAACAGCTAAGAAGAAGGTGAGTCGTATCTGCTTTCATAGCACTACCTTCTATCTGTTGCTTACAAATTTTAGCGATGAAATTTTCCGTTGTTCACAGGTTGAAGCCAAGGGGCGCCTTGCATTTTAAGATTTGCTTCACTGCAATTCTTGAAATTCTACCCTTTAAGGTTCTGCGGATGTTTTTGAACCATCCCTGAGAGAATGAGAAATTGCTGAGGAAAGGCTGTACAGTGGTGCCTTGCTTAACGAGCACACAGTATAACGACGAATCCGCATAGCGATCCCTTTTCCAGGATCGCTAATGCAGAGGCATAGCGTCAACCCCAATGGGCGAAACTTGCATAGCGAAGATCGGTAAGTGTTTCGCTTACCGATCTTCGCTTTGCGACGCCCGAAAATCAGCTGTTCGGTGGCTCCAAAATGGCCGCCGGACGCCTGAAATGGCCGCGCGCAGTGTTTTCGCGCCCTCCCCTCGCTTACCGAGGGCGCGAAAATGGCTGCCGGACCCTGGAAACTTCGCTAAACTGTGAGTTTTGTGCCGATTTGGAACAATGGCTTTTAACTTTCCGCTTAGCGAAGTTTTCACATAGCGAAGGTTAATCCGGAACGCATTAACCTCGCTATGCGAGGCACCACTGTATTTTGTTTTAACCTTTCCATTAAAACTTGGGCATTTGAATGAATGCAGAGAAGATTAGCAGAAAAATAGGATAGGTTTTCTGCCTCTTCTAGTTTTCCACATGTTATTCTGATGTAATTCATGCAGTGTGAACCTTTTAACAGCAGAGAGATATTATGTTGTGCATCTGATGAAGTAGAGTACGGTCTCCAAAACCATACAGCACAGAATATTTTGTTTGAAGTAGCCGATAGAGCTCACTTTGGAATGAGGTAGCAGTCGGCTTGTGGTTATGTCATATTGCCTTCCTCCCCCCCACCCTGCTTTTCTTCTCTCTGGCCCAGTATATCGAGTCTCCAGATGTTGAAAAGGAAGTGAAACGCCTGCTGAGCACAGATGCTGAAGCTGTCAGTGTCCGTATCCTTTCTTTATAGTATTTGCATTTTACCGAGACTCTTTCTCATCCTTTTGTCTCATTTGAATAATGGCCCATGAATCTAATATTAGCTCACCCACCCCCAAATTAGGCAAATTTTATCTAAAGTTATACCTTTTCAACATCACACTTTTCATGAATATATTTGTGTTGTCTGACAGTCCTAAGAATTATATGTCAGCAAATAAGGAAAATAAAACAGTGGCTTTTTAACTGAAAATGCTCTCTCTTTATATACATTTTTCATATAGAAAAAATATATATGGAGGCAACTATATATATAAAAAACAGCAATCACTTTAAACCACTGCTGGTGAAGGTTAAAGAAGTGCAAAAGCAAGTTGAACATTAAGAAGAGAAAAATAATGAAGAATATTTATTGACAATAAAGAAATGGAACCTGTTAAGGATTTTCCATATCTTATTCAGTTAGTCTAAAGAGAGACTACAGGCAAATCAGAAGAAGACAGAGACTTGGAAGGACAGTTGTGAAGGAACAAGAAACGATTCTTAAGTACTGTATAAGAATGTCACTGGAGATTGAGGCAAGATCATCCGTATTATGGCACTCTTCATTCCTAAATATGTATGTGGAAACTGCTCAGTGAAGAAAAATAGCAGGAAAAAATTACTGATTGAAATGTGATGCTGGAGGAGAGATTTACAGGTTGTTGGACCAACACAAAGACAAAATAGGAAAAGCAAATTTTTTTAGATCAAATGAAGCCTGAAGTCAATCGAAGCGAAAATGACTATATTGAGGTTATTGTACTTTGGAAAGATCATGAGAAGGCAAGGGTCAGTGGAAAAGACAATAATGCTAGGAAAAAGTTGAAGGCAATAGGGAAAAGGAGGAAGAGCTAACGTGAGATGGATTGACATTGTAGAGGACGCTGTGACCTTTGGTTTGCTAGACCTGAGCAGGACTTTTAATGATAGGACTTTTTTGGTGTTGTTCATGAGTTGCCGTAGGTCGGAGACTTGATGGTGTGTAACAGTTGATTTATATTACAGTAGGACTCCCTTATCTGCAGGATCAGTATCCGCTGAGCCACTTACCCACGGCTTGAAAATACTCTATTGAAAATATCGAAAGAGAAAAATCCAATTGGGGGGGGGAAATATGTACGGTACACATGTATCACCAGAACTGGCCGCTAGAGGGAACTGTGCCATGACGAATGCACAGCATCCTCTCGGGCTGCTTCAGGCCGCTCGCTCGTCTTTCAAACTTGCCCGGCTACTGCCTTCGTCAGGGGTAAAAAAAAGAAAGGAAAGACGTGGGAAAACCTCTGAACTTATACGGAAGTTTCCCGCAGCATGCAGCCCATGTGCCTGCCCAGTTGCCTCCTTGGCCAACTTTGTCTGGTGGGTAGTGGAGAGTGACCCTGCGTGGAGTGCCTGCCCTCCCCTCCCCGATCCTGGGCGCGGGGTGCCCGTCCCTCGCGTGCAGCTCGCCTTCCTCCCTGGGTCTGCTCACCTGGCCACTTACCCACGGCTTGAAAATACTCTATTGAAAATATCGAAAGAGAAAAATCCAATTGGGGGGGGGAAATATGTACGGTACACATGTATCACCAGAACTGGCCGCTAGAGGGAACTGTGCCATGACGAATGCACAGCATCCTCTCGGGCTGCTTCAGGCCGCTCGCTCGTCTTGCAAACTTGCCTGGCTACTTGCCATGACGACAGCATCCTCTCGGGCTGCTTCAGGCCGCTCGCTCGTCTTGCAAACTTGCCTGGCTACTGCCTTCGTCAGGGGTAAAAAAAGAAAGGAAAGACGTGGGGAAACCTCTGAACTTATATGGAGGTTTCCCGCAGCATGCAGCCCGTGTGCCTGCCCAGTTGCTTCCTTGGCCAACTTTGTCTGGTGGGAAGTGGAGAGTGACTCTGCGTGGAGTTCCTGCCCTTCCCTCCCTGATCCTGGGCGCGGGGTGCCTGTCCCTCGCGTGCAGCTCGCCTTCCTCCCTGGGTCTGCTCACCTGGGCCTTTGGCCTCAGGCAGGTGGGCAGGATCCCTCCATCACCAGCGCTGCTGCGGAGCCACCTCTGGGCCACAGCACCTCACAAGGAAGCAGAGGCAGAAAGGGCAGCTCTCGTCTCTACCCCTGCTGGCACTCAGCCTCTTTGCCCGCTGCAGGACGTAGGTGGAGGGAGTGTGGGGGTTGGCCCAAGCCCCTTCTCCTGAGGGTGGGGACTGGGGACACGGATAGGCAGCTCTGGGGGCAGCCGGCAGCCTGGGAGATGGCCCAGCCTGCCCGCCCACAAGCAAGCACCACCAGCACCACCAGCTAGCGCAGCCAGGCGAGAGCAGCGCAGCTCAAGGAGGCAGCCCAGATCGGGACTGCCAGGCACATGGGAGGAGCTGCAGCAGCGACCTTGCGCTCTGTTCCTTTTCTCACAGCATCCCCCAGCTGGTTTGGTGACACACACTTTGCAAAACACTTTTACCCTTTTATTATAGCGGTCACTCTATTCTGCGGTTTTCAGCATCCACGAAGGAAGCAGAGGCAGAAAGGGCAGCTCTCGTCTCTACCCCTGCTGGCACTCAGCCTCTTTGCCCGCTGCAGGACGTAGGTGGAGGGAGTGTGGGGGTTGGCCCAAGCCCCTTCTCCTGAGGGTGGGGACTGGGGACAGGGATAGGCAGCTCTGGGGGCAGCCAGGCCAGGCAGCTTTGGAGACGGCCCTGCCTGCCTGCCTGCCTGCCTGCTCACAAGCAAGCAGCACCAGCAGCACCAGCTAGGCAACAGCAGCGCAGCCCAAGGAGGCGGCCCAGATCGGGACCACCAGGCACTGGGGAGGAGCTGCAGCAGCGACCTTGCACTCTGTTCCCTTTCTCACAGCATCCCCCAGCTGGTTTGGTGGCACATACTTTGCAAAACACTTTTACCCTTTTATTATAGCGGTCGCTCTATTCTGCGGTTTTCAGCATCCATGGGTTGGGGCTTGGAAACAACCCCCTGCAGATATGGGGGGGGGAGTCTTACCATAATGATGTTTAGTGTCAGCTTGACAGAACTGTGAGCGAAGAGCTGATATGTCGCATAAACAATTCCAAACCTCTTGATCCTCTGTGCATTTTCTAGTCTAGATCGGTGTACTTCCCGGCTTCTCAATAATATGCTGAAAACCATACAGTGGATTCTGCGTGTGAGGAAGGCAGCCTTTTAAAAAATTCTAGGGCATGCTATAATATATTTGCAGGTGCAGATGCTTGCATATTTCTTCAGCCTCTTAAACTTATAAAAAAAGATGTCAGAAAATCCCTCTCCTCAGTGCAGTTTGTACTCCAATGACAATCTGGTTATGCTCGAAAAATGTACATAATAAGGCTTTTGTGCTGAACTTCTTTTATAGGAGGAAAAAAAGGCTTATGAGAGAGGTATGTGCAAAAGGAACGTGTGTAGACATCAGATAAAAACATTTTTTTTCTGTAGAAAACTACAGTGTGATTGCTAACTCTTATAAATGCCTGTTAGGCGTGCAGATACAGTGGACCCTTGACTTACAGACG